TGTGGAGATCAGGCTGTGGCTCTGGGAGCCCAGGTGCTCTCACTGCCAGCACCCCTCTTCCCTCTCTCGGGCTCAGGGATAATGGGGGTCTGCAGGGGCCAGGCCCTCACTAATCCCCTATTAAAACATGAAAGGGGCCAGGGAACCTCCAGAATAAACTCATTAACTTTTATGGGATAATAAATGGATCCCATTAAATTCTCATTCTCCCTATGCTAAACCAGCATAACCCCCAGAACCCAGAAGGGTGAGCTCCCTGCCCATTGTATCCCCCTATGCCCAGCTGTAATGCCCCCCATCCAGCTGAGAGTTGGTGCTGCCACAAGGTGGGGATCAAGCCCAACCTCATCGCAGACCTCTGGGGCCCCCTCCCTGTGCCTGGAATCTCAGCCTGTGCCCTGAGCCCACTCCCTCTGAGGCCAGCACCTTGGGCCCTGGAAGAGGGGCCTGGCACCTCTGCAGGGGCTGCCAGAGTGACCGGAGGCCCCTCCTGCTCTTGCAGAGGATGGGGTGGGACTAGCAGGTGGGAGCATAGGCCTGCCTCCAGGTGGCTCTCATGGGGACCACAGACAGAATAAACAGAGGCTTGCTTGAGTGGGCAGCCCCCTGCCCGGGTCACACAGCTAATGAGGCATAGATTCAGGATCGGAACCTGAGGTTTTCTGGCTGTCTGGTGCAGAAAAGATTTGCAGAATCAATAGCACCAAGGGGGCAGCCCAGCTGGCTCTAAGGTGGCATCTGGAGCCTGCTGCCTGGTGCAACAGACTCAGTCCTTCATAATGACACCAACCCTTCAGCATTCCCTCCACACAGACTAATTCCAGCTCCCCTGTGACCCCTGGCTGACTCCTGGGCCTCACTGAGCCTCAGTGTCCGGTCTACAGGACAGGGACAGGTAACACCTACCTAGCTGGATGCTATAAAGAAGAGTCCTCAGTGTTACTGCTTCCCCTAAACAGAGACTAGACACCCACCCCGCCCCGCCCCCACCACCGCTGCCCCATCCCTATCGGAGTCTGTGGAGTGGATGGGGGTGGGGTACATGGGCTCTCATTCCTGTCTTCAACCAAGGGGACCCTGGGGGGAGGGAAACAGCAAAGGCGGCCTCCTCTTGGGGGAGGGGCCTCCAGGAGGGGCCTCCAGTCCCGAGAGGGGCCACAGGGGGGCGGCAAGGGCCGGGAGGCGGGAGCTGGAAAGAATCCATTGGGGAGGAATCCTGAATGGCTCATTAGTGCCGATGAAAGCCTTTTTTCATTTCGTCTAAATACTTTAAACAGGGCTCCCTCCGATGTCTATTTGCATAGCTTAAGAGCTAATGCGGGGGGAGGGCCCAGGCGGCGGCGGAGCCCAAGCCCGGGCTGGGGGCCACCGGGAAGCGCCGGGCCTCCTCCGCCTTGGGCGTGGCGGCCGGGGAGCGGGTTTTCCCAGCCCCAGCCCCCCTTGGAGGAAGCGACGCCGGCCCTACGGGAAGGGAAGAGGGAGGAAGTGCAGCACCGCGAGTACATTCCTGTGTTCTGCCTCCAGGTGGACCTCACCAAGTGGGGACAGGGGGGACCGGCTTGCTGTGTACCAAGGCCACATACACGCAGGCTTTGGAGGCAGCTGCCCTTTGCACCATTGGTGCAGTGTTACCCTCCTCCTATGGATGAGGACACTGACAGACGCAGGGTCACACACACTGCCACACAACAGCAACGTGGCGCCCCAGAGAGGAAAGGCCAAACCCGGGCCAGCTCCTCCCCATGCCAGAGACCTGCCTCAGGGTTGCCCTGGCAGGGGGGTGCCCATCCTCTGCGTGTGCCCCTGGGAAAACTGCTATTTAGAGCATTAAGAATCTCATAAAACCCCTCCAAAGTGCCCAATTTACTGAGGACACGAATTCTGAGAGGCAACCTGCCAGGCTTTTCAATGGCAGAGCTGACCTTTGACCACAGGTATGTGTGCTCTGCCTGTCAGTGGTCTCTGGTTTGGGTCCCCTATCAGCTATGCTTTGGGCACGGGTGGGTCCCAGCCAGAGGCTTCCTGAGGACCCAGCCTGGCTCAGGCTCAGCTCAGGTTCCAGAAGGCAGGATCTCTGGTGACAGCTCCACTTGTAACCTGCATGAGACCTTGGACATGTCCCTTCCTTTCTCTGGGCCTTAGTTTCCTCAACTGGCTAGTGTTCTCTTCTGGGTAGCTCCAGTCTCCTCCTCTCCTGAGGCAGGCAGGTGTCATGGAAAAACTAAGCCTTTGAAGCCAGATCAACACAGGTTCAAATCTCAGCTCCAACACTGTGTGACTGGGGAAGTCCTTACCTCACCTCTTGGCTTCAGGTTCCTTGTCTGTATTGTGGGAATAAGATTCCTATCCCACACAGCCACAGTGTCAAATAATACAAGATGGCATGTCAGAATAGCCTGACTCAGTGTCAGGCAAACAGTGAGTGCCTGTTGAGACTGGGCATCTGGGTCCCTGACACCTATTTTTTGCTGTCCCCTGCATCCATTCTCCCTCTTTGTCCATCTCTACACCTTTGAACTCAGCCCAAGCAGAGAATCCCAGGAACCCGGAGTGGGGCAGGGGGCAGGCCACAGGGCCTTAGGCTTCCATCAGAGTCAAATAGGGTGTCTGGAGATGCCCTCTACCCAGAAATGGCTTGTCTCCCAGAAATTATCTTACCCTCTCTGACAGTGGGTAGCACCCTCAGGGACCAAGTGGCAGCTGATTACAGAATGAATTTGCTCGTTTGATATGCTATCTTGATCCCATTTAACCAAGTGCTCAGTCCCCCCAGATAACACAATCAGTTCAATCGACAGTGACGGGAGGTGCCCATTAGCTCTGCTCCATTGCCCTGCACCCACCTGGCAGCTGGCGGGAGGAGCTGTGCCTGCTATGGTCCTTTCCTGAGACAGAGGATCTCTTTGCCAATGAAGAATCCCACAGTTTCATACACTGCAAGCCATGGACCACACCTCTTTTGGACAATCCTGGAAGGGGACACTGGAGCCCCAGGAACTCAGTCTGTGAGAGAGACAGACTACTCTTCCTTGTGCCATGATAGAATCTGTCTCAGCTTTCCTGGCAAAGATCCTGTGACACCTGGGGGGTGGGCAAAGAGCATAGCCCTGTCCTGGCATGTCACAGGCATGCCTACACTCTCCATCACTGACTCAGATGAAAGATGACAGGGCACTGGCGACCATCTGCTCTGGGGGGGTATGGGCCTGGCTGGGCATCTAGTTTAGGCACTGTGTTGCCAGGGTCTGGCACAGAATGCCAAGGCACAGATGGGCTGCTTTAGTGGGCATCTCAGGAGATAGGGGCTGGTCCTGGCTTCTCCGGGCTTTGAAACACCGAGGCCCCTCTGACCGAGAGCAATGGAGAGCCTTCTGACCTGCACCTACATCCCCCACCCATTTCCTCCCTCCTCTTATTTGTCTGACACATCAGAGCAGCCATGGTCTCCTGAACAGAATGTAGGCCATCTGCTGCTTCCTCACGCCTGCCAATCCATGGGGTGGGTGTGAGCCTGTGCATGACAGCCCCACCATCAGACATGGAGAGGAACCAACTTTCTCCTTGCAAACTCCGTTATCTCATCCTGGCGTGTTCCCCGTCAAGTCCTCATGCAGTCATTCTGAGAGCTGTTAGAGTCAGAATATCCTCCCAGCCTTCTCAGTGCTGGCAAATTTCTATATAAGCTGAATCTGGAGCCAGCTTCCATTGACCTTTTCCTGGCAGTTAAGGTTCTGGAGAGCCTAGTGGGTCACAAGCAGAATACACATCATCTGTCCAGCTATGAGGTTGAGTAAGAATATAATCAATCGCAGAACAATCTGTACTTCATCAGCAACAGCAAATAAGTTTTATCTTCCATAGCCTATCTAATCGATTGGTAATGGCTGCTGAGATAACTATGTTGAGAAGGATTCTGAAGTCCCATGTGGCCTCAGCAAGAAATAACCAAAATTGGTTAATAATGTCTGCCATGGATTACAGCATAGGTTGGTAGCATGTCAGATGACCATTTACCCCTACTTTAGACACTGCTGTAGATGGACCCTGGCTAGTATCACAAGAAAAATAATGTGAATTCAGAGAGACATATCAAATAGGGAAGAGAAGTAATATTATCTCAGTTAATCCTAAAAAAGAACCCCATTTTACCTTAGATGAGAAAACTAAGGTTCAGAGAGCTTAGGTTATTTGCCTGAAGTCACACAGCCCTAAAGTAATAGATCTGGGATTTGAAGCCACATCAGCCTTACTCCAGAACTTGGCTCTTCCCACTCTACTCACATTACGGTTCTAGAAGGACCAAGAAAAAAAAATAGTGAGGTAAATGGGACATAAGGGGATCCTGAGAGAGATGTCATGTACCCATGAGGGAATCTAAAATAAAATTCCAAATATATGAAGCATTTCCTGAGACTAATGACCAGCAGGTTCACTGAGAACAAGAAATGAACTTCAATGCCCTATAACCTCAGGCGGAAAAGCCACTGTGGTGGGGAACAACACTCTTGCTCAGGGTCTTGCTTTTGGCCTTCAACTGACTGACTGGTTGTGTGTCTTGGAGCAAATCTCTTCCTTTCCTTAGCCCATTTCCTCCTCATTAAAGAAGGCCTTTGAGCTACGTTAGGGATGGCAGATATTAATTTGTCACGTCGGTCTGAGGTATCAAGCTTGGCTGCCTGGAGCTCTGTGTTGAGAAGGATTCTGAGGCCCAGTGTGAGAGCATCATCAAACAGTGCAATGATCAGTTGTTAAGATCCACCTCCAGTTTGGGAGAGAAAAGATACCTCATCCTTTGAAGTATGTGATATGTGCCAGCCTTGAAGTATGTGATATCATCCCACTTCCAGCTCTAAAATTCTATAGCCTCCGTAGTTCTCAACAGCAAGCACACTCCCCAGGGCTCTCTGTCCAGAGAGATGGATCTCCTGCTGTCTGTACTGGGTATGATAACACTCCTGTGGGGCAGAGGCAGAACATTTGATCATCTCTTATTGTTTCAGGATTCTCTTCAGAGGCTCCAACTGTGGGGGAAGGACAGGCCCCAGGCATGGAGGAGATGGAGGGGGAGTTGACCGTGGCCCCCACACCTGAGCAGCCAGAACGAGGCGTCCACTTCATCACAACGGCACCTACCCTGAATCTGCTCAACCACCACCCGCTTCTCGAGGAATTCCTCCAAGAGGGCCTGGCAGGGCATGCGGAGGAACTGAGGCCGGCACTGCCCTTCCAATCTGACCCACCTACGCCACTCACTCCAAGTCCCCTTCCCCGCCTGACCAACCAGGACAGCCGCCCTGTCTTCACCAGCCCCACCCCGGCTGTGGCCGCAGCACCCACTCAGCCACAGTCTAGGGAAGGACCCTGGAGCCTGGAGTCAAAGCCGCCTGTGCTTCACCTCACGGCTCCCCTACCACCAGGGCCCGGAATGGCAGTACCCACCCCAGGCCCAGGGGAGAGGCCCAGTAGTACCACACCCCCTAGCAGATTATGGACTCCAACCCAAGAGGGTCCTGGAGACATGGGCAGGCCACAGGCTCCAGAGGTCAAGTCCCAGACCACAGGGCTCAGCACAGAGGGGACCATCGCCACCTCTACAGCTTCAGGGGATGAGGAGGAGATCACCACCACCATCACCACCACCACCATCACCACAGTCCAGCCACCAGGTCAGCCACTCGCTGGCTTGCAGATCTGGAAATGGGGATGAGGGAGCTGTGGGGCCCCAAAATTATGCCTCTGTCACTGTGCCAGCCTGCCTTGCCCTTTGGCACCAAGGGCCAGCCTGCAGGAGGCATGTGGATTGGAACCAGATAGACCCAGGTTCAAATCCTGATTGGAAATAATTACAACAGATCCTAGGAATTTTATTTCACCTCTCAGAGCTATCCAAAAATGGTGATAAGACCTACCTCATTGACCCATTTGTGGAAACTGAGATAAGATTGCATATAGTAGGCACTCAAGAAAAGGTGGTCCCCTTCTTTAAATAGGGGAATAGACACCCCAAGAAGTAGGTTTCAAAACACACACACACACACACACACACACACACACACACACATGGGTCAGCCTTAGTTGGACCAGCTCCAGAGCTGGGCTTAGCCTTGTGTTTCCTCCTGCCTCCCAGGCCCTTGTAGCTGGAATTTCTCAGGCCCAGAGGGCTCTCTGGACTCACCCATGGCCCTCAGCTCACGCACTGATGTCGGCCTGGACTGTTTCTACTACATTTCTGTCTACCCTGGCTATGGTGTGGAAATCAAGGTGAGTGAGCTGGATCCAGCAGGGACAAAGCTGGGGCTGGGACATTATCTTTCTAGAAAGGCTCCCGCTGTCAGGGGACATGGGGGTGCTTAAGGGCATCAGCTGGAGGGGCGCCTAGGTCAGGGCTGGGCAATGGGCCTAAAACATTGTCATGATCCACCCTATGCACCAGAGAGTAAAGAGGCTACTGCCCCCACTCAGCAATGCCCTAGGCTGAGAGGGCCATGGCAGAGGCAGGCAAGCCCATGCTTCTCCACGAGAGCTCAGGAGAGCCAGAGGAGGGGGCTCCAGCCTCAGGTGGGAAGGGGGGTGTCCGAATCTATGTGTCTGAGTAAGAGAATGCAGGGCTGCCTGGTTAGGCCTAAGAGAGCCATGGAACTTCATTCATTCACTCATTCACTCACTCATTCCTTTAGCAAATGCATCTTGAGCAGCTCCTCTGAGCCAGGCCCTGTGCTGGCTCCTGGGATGCAAAGGTGGGGAAGAGACATGGCAGCACCATCAGAGAGGTGACTATCTGGTGGGGAGTCAGACCTACAGTACCAGCCTCCTGCCTCCTTCCTCCTGGGCCATCTAATCCCTCTTTGGGGTCAAGACGTTCTTAATCCCAAAACCTGAGCCTGCAAGTCCTCATGGATGTCCCACAGGCTCCTCTACCTCCACATGCCCCAACCAGCTCTTGCTTTTTGTTCCCCAAACCTGTCTGCCATCCCCCAATCCTCAGAGATTGACTCCAACCAGTGAGAAATGTGAAGCAGGGCTGCTTCCATGCAATGTGGATGGTGTGCCTGGAGTTGTGAGATCAACCTGGCCCTTCCTTCTCCCTCTTTCCTGAGTCCCACCAACTCAGGCCCAAGTTCTGTCACCATGACTCTCCACCAACTTAGATCTACCTACTTTTCCCACCTGCTCCCCATGACCACCACATGGTTCAGTGTCCATATCATCTGTCCCCCAGATGATGCTCTGGCTGCCTCACTGGTCACTCCACTCAAGCTGGCCTCCTACTCTCCATCCTTCACCTACACTGCAGTCATTTTTCTCAAACGAAATCAACCCTACTGCCCCCACCACCCCTGGGGCCTCTGAATCAAGGCCAGTCACCCTGGCCCCACCTCTGGCCACTTCTCCCTTGTTTTATACTTCCCCTTTGCACTGAACAGCTTGCAGCTAACTGAATGGGCCAAGCCCATTTTCCCTACAAGCCCCAATTGCACATGCTAGTCCCTCGGCCTGGAAGAGTCATCCTACTATCCCCTTAGGACTCAAACCCTTGCATCACTTTCTCTGGGAATTTTCTCCTGATCCCCAAAGTCTGAGCATCTCCCACCCCTGCTCTTATCTCTCTGCCACCTGTGGATCTCTGTATAGTTAGCCATATTACCAACTGACTGTGAGCTCCTTGAGGGATGCCTTGGAGTACAGGACCAAAAATGGGTTCTCCATGGACTGATTGAGTGAATGGACAAATGGATAGAGAAAGGAAGGAATGAGTGACATCTGACAGGAATCGGGAGACTGAACAGAGGTGGAGAGAAGAGGCATTTAGCCCAGTCAAGGCAATCAAGCAGGTGACCGAGGAGCACAGAGAAGTGGGTAGAGGATTCCATGGAATAGGGCAGCACCTCGCTCCTGGCCTGCTCTCCACCCGTCCAAAGCCCCAGGATCTGAGCCTGGAGCCAGCTACACCTGTTCTGGGGCAGCCTCCAGAACTCCCCTCTGGGGATGTCAGATCCAGGTCCCTGAGCCAGGCCCTGCTCAGGGAGACCCCTCCCATTCTTTCTGTAACTTTTTGCCTCTGCTCTGCCAAGCCCTGTGCCCCTCACTCTGGGCTGACTGGGAGGGTAATTAGGAACAGCCATCCCCCCCAAGCCATTAGCACTCAGTGCCGCTTAATTAAGGTAATTAATGTAAAATTATCACCTAATGAGAGGTGGCACCAGCTGTGGCTCACTGGGTGGAAGGCACCAGCTGCAGGTGTGGGGAAGGCGATGGGAGGAGGCAGATGGCAGGCTGGGTGACCCCCTGCCGGCATGGGCTGACTCCACTTGCCCCCCAAGCCTGCCACACCCACTGAAGCCCACTGGTCCAGGCTGGGCTTGGTCCTGGTACTCTCCACATGGGCAAGATACGGCTGTGTCTGCCCCGGCCCTGGCCCGGGCACAAGTCCCCCTGGATGCCCACCCCTCACATAAGCCCTGTGTCTGTTGTCTGCTGTCGTCAGAATGCAAAAGCTGTTACCAGGCAACCTTGAGACAAGACCTGCCACAGCCCTGGATTGCTGTCAGGAAATGTGGCAGGCAGAAGCTGGCTCCACCCTCCACCTCGCCACCATGGGGCAGAGTCCCTTGGGGACCCTGGCAGCCCTGATGGCCTGGCATAGAGTTTGAGGCCATGGCAGGGAGGGCCAGGGGGAAGGGCCAGAGTCAGCCGGAGCTGAAGCAGGATTTAAGGTTCTTCTTCCAGAACTGGTTCTGGCAACTTCTATTCCTATCTAAGCCTCCTGGCCACACCACACAGGCACTTGGAGACCTGAAGACCAATACCCAATGGAGAGTTGGAAAAACTGCAGCCAGCAAGGAAAGGGAATTGCCCAAGGTCACTCAGTTAATCATTAACTGATGTTTATTGATAAATGGATTCATTCTGCAAATATAAATTGAGCAATTACTTTGTGCCAGACTCTATGCTGGACGCTGGAGAAACAGATCTTCAAAGTTAGTCGGAGAGCCAGAAATCATAAACAGTGACCACAGAGTACTCGGTGCTGTTGGGAATAGGGGTGGGAAGCACAGGGGACTGTGGGGATTCCAGGACGGGGTGCACTCCAGCAGCCTGATGGGCTTAGAGAAGGCTTCCTAGAGGTGGTGATACCTGCTCTGAGGCCTGAAGGATGAGAGGCCAGCAGGGACCTGGGCTGGGAAGCAGCAGGTATGGCTGACTAGTCCTTGAAGGCTGCCCAGGCAGTTTTGGACAGGAGACTTCGTTGCATAGAAGCAAGAGGGGTACTTAAAGGCTTAAACTGGATTATACTCCTGCCAGATGGTAGGCCTCAGAGCAGTGCCCTCCTGCCCAGGGCTGGCAGTTGAGCCATGCCATACTGGGCATTGGTGGTGGGATGCGTGAGGCCGCTAGAAGGTCTAGAAGGCTGCTCACTGTTCCTTCAGGCTTGGGGAAAGGCTTGTGGCTTCTCTCTGTCATGCGTAAGCGCCCCCTCTGTGAATTCACAGGGCTGGCTCAGGCTGGGTAGAAGGGATGGAATCTGGGCAAGGGGGATGAGAGAAACTGGGAGGAGAGAAGCCTCTTAAGGACCCACAAATCACACCTCTGTGCAGGTCAGCCTGACATGGTGCTGAACTCCTGTCATGTGACCACAGCTCTGGCTAAAGTCTGGGACCCTGAGCAAGACCCTTTCAATTCCCTTTTCTTCAGGAACGGCTTTGGGGGCTCCAGAATCCCTAACAGCCCACTCTCCACTGCTTGGACCAGAGCCCCACATATCCCTTGCCCCCTTCAGGGTGCCGCTATTTGTGCCCTCAGAGGCTGAGGGCCCTGTGGAAGCAAGCCAGGTCAGGCCCTGCATGATCAGAGGCACCTTGCCTGTTTCAGCTGAGGACCAGGCACTGGGCAAGGCTTGTTCTTCAGAGACCCAGAGAAATCCTTCCAGATGGTGGGCACGAGCCCCATGGCACATGTGGGTCCCATACCCTCTCCAGGCAGCCAGTCTCCCCTGAGGGCTCCAGGCCTTTCTGGGCCAGGCAAGTGCCTCTCATTGCACTTGGCATTCCAAGAGCCTGCCCACTGCCAGCCTCCACCTTGGCTTGGCTGATCGGTGTACCATCTGGAGCCTGGGCACAGCAGCCCACAGACCCTGCCCTGGTTCCCCAGGCGGCCCCATTGGATCACAGCTCTCCCATGCCAGGTTGCCAGAACACGCTGCCCTTCTAGGCAAGATCAGCACCAGGCCTGACATGGACACCAGGAATAGGGTGGTGGGTCAGTGGGATGAAATTTCTGGGTAACCTCCTCTTTCCTTGCTCCTATAAGGTCCTTCTGAGAGGTGTCACAGGAGTGTGGGCAGGTCTAGCCCCATGGACCTAGGTCCCTCTCCCCATCCCTAAAGCCAACCATAAGGGTTTGTCGATGAGTATTATTTCAGACAAGAGCACAGAGGCTGTCACATAGGACGAGGGTCCCAGTCCTGGCTCTGCAGCCCATCTCTCAGTGACTGGGCTGAGACCCTTGCTTTCTCTGGGTCCGTTTCTCTTTCTGTGAAAGGAGATTGAACCAGATGATGCAGAAGGCCCCTCCCAGTTAGTCCCTCTGAGTGTGGCCCCTTTTCTGGGTTCAGGAAGCTCCCTCCATAGACCAGGCTGGGCTGTGACACCTCAGGCACTTGACCCTGCTTCCTGCTTCCAGCAACTGCAGAACCTGGGCCGGAGAGAGGGCGGCTTCCAGGCACAGTACTTACCAGGCAGAGCCCTAGCAGACCTGTGGGTGAGGTGGGTCCACAGCCAGCTGTCATCATGGCAAATGCCAGGGTTTTACCAGGGTGGGGCCCAGGTGTCTCCAAGAAAGGGAAAGAAGGCTGCTAATGCTGCACCCACTCTGGGCTGAGCCCCTTACAGGTGGGATCTAACTTGATCCTTACAACCCCCCTAGGTGGGTACAATTATCCCATTTCACAGACAAAAGTAGGGTTTGGACACCTCATGTGACTTGCCCAAGCTCCTTTCAGCTAGTCAGTGATGGAGCCATGATTTGATCCCAGGACTCAAGAGCCCCTGCTCTTCCCCTGGCCCAGCAGTTAGACCCGGGCATAGCAAATCCAAAGCAGGAGTTCAGCGGGGAACTGTTGGGGATTCCACCCCGACCCCTTTTCTCGGCGCAGCCCCACCTGCTCCTGTGGGACAGCCACCTGGGCTTCTCCCAGCCTGGAGAGGGACCTGGGATGCTGTGCATGAGGACAAAGCTTTGGACCAGGAATCAGGAGTCCTGAATCCTCTCCACCTGCCATCCAGGAAGGAGTTAGCCTCCTCAAAACAGCTCTATTTCCTTCCTTGAAATGACCCCCATGGCTGCTGGAAGCTGTGCACTGTTAGACAGCCCAGGGTCCTATGGGAATTGTTCTCAGTTCCCTCTGCTTCTCTCTCTCCCCTGTCTGGCCTCCGGCTCCCCTCTTGTCACTGGCCAGGGGTGTGGAAGGACAGACCTTGTAAGCAGAGCTGACATTTCAATCTGTCTCCCAAGCTCTTCAGATGCTTGTAAATTGCATCAAGACTTCATCAGTCCCCTTGTCCAACATTCAGTTCTGTCTGGTCCCTGGCTGGCCCCTGTCAGGCCTGCCCTCAAACAAGTGACAAATTACATTCCAGCCACTTTGGCCCACCTGCAAGTAGGTGCTTGAAAGCCAAAGGACCAGAGCTGCATAGACGGCCGCTGCTGAGAATAGGGTGCTTTCTGGATGGGAACCCCAGGCAACCCAGGCCCACTCCATCCCTTGCTTTCATGGCAACCCTCACTGTCAGGCTGTGCTGGAAGCCACACTAGCTTGGGGGTCCATGCCTTCCCCAGATCAGAGGGGCCAGAGGCCTCAGCTCCTAGTTTTTCCAGCCTTACACGCTTCTGGGGGTAAAGATGGCTGGTGGCAACATAAATCTCAACATCCTGGAAAAAGCCAGGTCAGGCCAAGAATCACCTCACTGTTAAACTGACAGGCCTGGGAATCAAGATGTCTAGACATTGGTCTGCAGGTGACACCCGCGTGAGGTTGGCAGGAAAGGAGTTGCCTCTGCCTCCAGCAAGGAAAGACTCTGCTTTTAACTTCTGTGTGAGCTTTTGCAAGTTCCTTAGCCTCTCTGAGCCTCTGTTCACTTACGGGGAGTTTACCACCTACTTTATAGAATTATGGTGAAAATGAAATAAAAATCTGTAAATAGTACAAGGCTTGACACACCGCAGGTGCTCTGTGAATGGTGATTGTTATTGCTCCTGCTGCTGGCAAAGATCAGAAGGATGTTTATGGGAACTAGGACAAAGGCTAAGTTCATTTCTACTTCTCTGCTTTTGCTTCCTTAGTAACTTCTCAGCAGCATGTCGTCCCTTCCTCCTTCTCCTCCCAGTCCCGCCCCCATAAGGCGCTCTCCGACCCACCTGCTCCATGTGCCCTCCCTAAGCCTGCAACGCCTCCACTCCCCACTAGAGGATTCCTAATGCACACATCCAGTGCCACTTAAGGCAGAATTATATGCTGCCTGACATCTCTCGATAATTACAGATTCCACGTGTATGAGTCTTGTTTGCCCAACTCTAGAATCACAGAATCTCCAAGTTTGAAGGGACCTCACCCAGTCTTCCGCCTGCCACAGGAATTCCCTGAGGAATGTCCCTGGTAGATAATCAGGCAGCCTCTACCCCAAAATGCCCTAGCAGGAAGCTACTCATGGAAAGGTGGCACTTCTGCCCCAGCACCCTGCTTTGAGCCTTCTCTTTGGCCCCAAAGACCCCAAAGACCAGGTCTCTTCTCCCAGGTTGGGAATCCCCAGGGCACATCTGTGCTCAGCACCCACCATCTGAGGGTCCTGTGCCTAGCATAACTGTTTCCTTGGACCCAGCTGGCTGGGCTCAGTGTCCTCTGTACTTCTCAGTTCATAGAAATCTGGCATAGAAGGTGCCTCCAGTGCCCCACATATTCACTCTCTCCACGCATCTTTACTGTGAGCAGCCAGTGAAGAGGGCACTATGACCCAAAACATATGTCACCCTAGGCTTTACTAGAGAGATGTGTAGAGGACATGTGGGGAGGGCCCAAAGCAAAAGAACCTATTGGTCTGGCTGGGGAGGCAGAGCATGGTGGTCTTACAGCCTGAAGGAATGACCAGCTTTACAAGGCAAGAAGGGAAACTATGCCATGCAGGGTCCCACATATGCAAATGACCAGAGGTAGAGGGAGTGAGGCCTGACCTGTGACTGCAGTGCACAAAGGTGAGGCTGGCAGAGACACAGGAGCCAAATGTGAGCTGGGAAGTTTGGACCTTGTGCTCTGGGAAATCTGAAGTCACCAGTGGGGTTTGGGCAGAAGAGATACATGATCCAATCTGAGACAGCCAGGGCCCAAAGAGAGTTGGGGATGGGAGGGGTGAAGGCTCTTCTCCAGGTAAGAAACACTGGGTAGGGCAATCAGAGCCCAGACAGCAACAAAGGGATAGAAAAGAGGAACCAATTGGAATATCTGGGGGTAAAATTGGGAAGGATTTGGTGACTCACTGGATGCCACTTGACTAGCCCAGGCAGTTAACCCTTGAAGGCCCTGCATCATAGCAACATAGTAGGGACCTTGGAAACCATGTGGAGGAGTGCTTCTGAATCACCCAGAGGTCTTGTTAAAGTGCAGAGTATTATTTAGTAGCTCTGGCAGGGGGGGTCTGGGGTCTGCCTCTTACAAGCTCCCAAATGCTGCTGTTGCTGGTCCAGGGACCTATACTAGGCCATTTTATAGGATGAGGAAACTGAAGCTCACATAGTCAGCATCCATGTCCAAGGCCATGTGGCTGCAATGAGTTGAAGAACTCTGGGCTGCCCACTCAATGCTCCTTGTACCATTGCCACTTCCCCTCTGGGTAAGCGTCGGGTGCTGTTCAATCTTTGTTCGACTGAATGGAAGCATGGAGCCCAGAAGATGCTCCAAGGATTGAGGGCCTGGGATTTGGGGTGGTGGTGGAGGGGCCTGTGACAGCCAGATGGAAGGATTGAAAAAAGAGTTCCAGGGAAGAGAGACTAGAATGGTGGACAGCACGTGCAGGGGGAGGGTGTAATGCCAGCACAGAGAAAATGAAAGTTCCTGTGGCCAGATTCTCACCTGACCCTGGTTCGCTTGCTCACTGCACACATGTGGGCAATACGTTATTACTGACTCTATATAAAGAGCTCCACCCAGTGCTCTGGGCTGCACGGCTGCAGGAGAGCAGAGGCTGAAGTGGTGGCAGCGCCAAGGACAGAGTCTGAGATGGTAGAGAAGCCCAGAGGCCAAGACCAGCTTGCTGCATACAGACTTGCTCTGAGGCAGACAGGATTCTAGCACTTGACCTGCCACCATGGGAATAAAGTTGGGTATCATTAAAACATGTGTCCTCTAACATCTTTGTGGATTGGGCATACACCTAGCAAAAAACTGCTACTCTCTGAGATGTATGGAACTTCCTATCAGTACTGCTACTGGCCTCCCTTGGAAAGTGCTAATCGTGAACTGGGACTGGTTTGAATACAGCTGGGATGACCATTTGGTGGCAGTTGATGTCCTTGGGCTTGAGGACAAGTATTATTATTATAATTTTGTTGTTATAAGGTTCCAGCTTTCTCACACAGGTACCCTGACAGAAGATTGATTTCTCCTGTAGAAAGTAAACCCTTTCACCTCAAGAAAGTTCCATTGTCATTTTTTGGTCTCACCAAATCAAGAATGAACTTGCCAAGGGCGAAACCCACTGGCAAAATAACCAGGCTGGGCTGTCAGCAGAAGTCAAGCTGGGCAGGGCCTTGAGCCACAGCCTGGAGTCTGGACTGGATACCAAGGGCTTTGTGGGCTCAATGGAGGGAGCTCTCAAAGGACTGAAATGAGGAAGCACCAAGATCAGCAACAGGTTGGGGCTATTAGCTGGTTTAGTTCAGAGAATATTGACTAGAGGGAGGAGTGGGCTAAGCCCTGCAGGCAGGAGGCTGGCTGGGAAGCTACTGCAATGATCTAGGTGAGCAGTAACAGTGAAGAGGTGGCAAAAGGGAATGCAAAGCAGGAAACAGATTTGGGGTCCAATTGACAGGCTGAGTGATTGAATATGGGGTATGAAGATGAGGCAAGATGCCAGTTTCTAACTTAGACATGCGGGTAAATGATAAGGTCATTCCCTGAGATGGGGAGCCAGGGAGGCTCCTGGTTGGCAGAAAAGTATGGCTCAGTATGAGAATCTTAGGGCAGGTGAGAGGTACCTGTGAAACATCCAACAGGGGACGCCCAGGGGAAGCTGGGCACATGGGTCTGATGCTTAAGTCCTCACATTGCTGGCCAGGCCCTCCGACACCATCTCATTCAACATACCTACTCCATCCCCCCTTTACAGATAAGAAAACTGAGTCCAGAGAAGTGAAGGGACAGGAAGCAGCTGGTGTAGTTGAAATGCCTTGGAGACAGAGAGATGTGCTTACAAATCCAGTTCTGCTAATAATCTCTGTGTGACCTTGGGTAATTTATGTAATACCCCTGAACTTCAGGTCCCATCCCACAAGGTTACTGGGAAGGTGGAATGAGCTCGTTCTGCACTGAAGGGCCTAGTTCAGGCCTGGGGGGCTCCAGTGCCCAAGGGGTACTGAGGACTGGCCATGCCCAGGGCCTGCAGGAGCCTGAGGGCGACAGGGCTCAGTCATGGGAAACAGCCTGACTGCTCTGCTGTCTATTCCACTGACAGGTCCACAACATCAGCCTCCGGGAGGGGGAGACCATGACTATGGAGGGCCTCGGGGGGCCTGACCCACTGCCCCTGGCCAACCAGTCTTTCCTGCTGAGGGGCCAAGTCATCCGCAGCCCCACCCACCAAGCAGCACTGAGGTTCCAAAGCCTCCCACCACCTGCTGGGCCTGGTACCTTCCATTTCCACTACCAAGGTAGGCCTGGGCAGCTGAGGGAAGCAGCAGCCCAGACTGGCTGCCCTCCTGGGGATCTCTGGTGCTGTCACAGTCCGGGGAGGCAGGGGACCAGTGGGGAGGGTAGTAACATACAGCACAGACGCCCAGTGACACTTTGTACAGCTAGAGGTGAGCATTGCACATCTGACACTGCCAGGACCTTCCCTCCACCACCTACCACCCTGCAGAGACCTGGTCTTGAAGAGGGACTGACTGACACAGCATCAGGTAGCCCCAGGTGTGCCCACTGCCACTCACTGACTCATTCAGTAAACTCTCCCTAGGCATCTGCTCTTCGCCAGGCCTGTGCTGTACCCTGGCAATATCAAGAGGAACCAGCCAAGTCCTTGCCCTTTTTAGAATCTCAGGGGGAAGGAGACACTTAAACAGGCAATAACAATAGAAACCTTCTCCCCAGATGCGAGGTGGTCAAGGTCACAAGAGCTTGACAACGACCATGGGGAGGCCCTTAGTCACCAACCCAGCCCTTATGAACTGCCTCACCCACCCTGGACCTGGCCCATGCCCCAGTCAGCTCAGAACATCTCTAGAAATAGGGGTGTGGCATGATGTAATACAAAAGTCACAGACTTGGGAGATGAGCACATCTGTGTCTGACTCTCCTTCCCACTGGCTATTGACCTCTTAAACCCTCCATTCTCTCTGTTGTAAGATGAGACCAAACACCTATTCCACAAAATCCTGATGAGGTTAAACAAAGTGGTATATGTCAAGTGCTTAGCATGTGCTCTATGAAGGAACTGAAGAGTAGTATTAAAGAGCAGGTGGGATGGGAAAAGGAGGAAAAGGAGCTGGGACTCTGCCTCTCTCCATGCGCATCCCTCCTGGCCCCACTTTCCCAGGCAAAGTCTTGTTCCCTTGCACTGCTGTGCCAGGGCAACTAGTTCAGACTGGGGGGTTCTAGTGGGGAAATAATTGGCATGAACCCTTAGGGATTGCTTTGCATTGTCAGGGACCACTTACACAGCCCGGGGGTGGGGAGGGAGGGTTAGGGCACTGCCTAGGGAGGAGATGGGGATGCTTAGAACCCACCTAAGGAGAACTTGCCTCTTCCCAGCCTCTCCATTCCAAATGGGGCAAGCAGTCTGGTGGTGGACAGGGGCTGGCCAGGGCCTTGGCAGAGGCAAAAAGCCAGCTGAGGCAAGGGTGAGCATCTAGGCGGCCCGGCCAGCCTCCCTAATGGCTCATCAATCCTCCCTAGCAGCAAGCATAATTTCACGCCACAGTAACCTTCTCTCTTGTTGCAAATTCCTTTGCACAAAACCCCAAACCTCCTCTCTGATGGGCCAGACAAAAGTGGATGAAGACAGTGATTTGGAGGCCTGGCAAAGGGTGCAGACCCCAAGGAGGGACTGGGAGAGCTGGCCTGGTCCTGCCTCCTGCTTAGCTCTCAGAAGCCCTCCCTTTTCAGCCCAGTTTTTGTCAATGATCAGCTCTTTCCTTAATGAGTGTAATTCCCCTAATTATAGGCTATAATTAGCCCTGATCCCAGAGATGGGAACAGGAGGAGTGTGTGCTCACACGCGTGTCTCCCTGGGCTGGAGAAAGAGGGTGCCAGAAGAGGTGGTGAGGGGCCTAGCACCCATGCCCTTGCCAGAGTTGTCCAAGATAATGCTCCAGGTCACAAAGATGGGTCCCCACTAGGGCTTCATTCACAGAACTAAACTCCAACTCCCCTCCCACAGCCTCAGGCAGGGTGAGGAGGCCGAGGGCCCTGCCAGGCATCCCCCTCCTCCCTCTTGAGCATTCTTGGCACCAAAGTTGGCCCCAGAAACAGACGCCAGGGAGAAAATAGCTCAACAGATTGCAGTGGTACAGGCTGGCTGGGAACAGTCACCATGGCAACAGGAGGAAGCTTGTCCTGGGAAATGGCACTTTACCCACTACAGAATCCGGGGGCTTCATCATCTGCCCCCAGCCTCCCACCCTTACCTCATCCCAGCCGAATTTCCTAATCTGTGAAATGGGGGACCGCTCTTCCCAGAGTTGTGATAAGAACTCACCAGAAAGATATAAGCACAGGTGCTGAGCATATCTGGCTCATGCCTAGAACTCCCTGGGTGTCACCCGCATCCCTCCAGTCTGGGAGAGTGCCCCACACCCTTTCCCCATCCCATCTTGGAAGGGGGAGTCTCTCCTGAGATCACTGTGAGTGGCCATCCTAACAACCACCTAGGGCAGCCTCATGTAGTACACTTTGACTCCTGAACCATGTTTCTTCTTTATCTGGGGAAGCAGGTAAGCTTTAAGAGCCAGCAGCTTCAAGTGCCCACTCTACCTCTTACTGGTTGTGTGGTCAGGGCAAGTCCCTCAGTCTCTCTGAACCTTAGTTTTCCTCATCTGAAAATGACTTTATAACCCCAATCTTGCCTGCCTTCCTCCCAAGCATGTTGTAGACGTCAAGTAAGAGGAGTGTGAAGCTAGAAGATGCGTGCAGATGTGAGGTGCTCCTAGTGATCAAGATTACAAATAACAGCAGGCTGATGTGTTTGGTATTTGTCCTGCTCCAGGCACTACACATACATACATCCTTCTCAACAGAACAACATTGGATGCAATACTCTAAATGGGCAGGTAAACAAGGAAACTGAGGCACAGAGAAGATAGATAACTTACCCAAGGTGGCACAGCAAATAGAGAAGCCTGTATTCAAACCCAGGCAGTCTGATCCCAGAGCCCACCTGCTAAGCACTGTCTTGTACTGCCTGCCAACCACAAGTAACCAACTGCTCATTGGCTATTAAGAATCCCATGAGAGAGGGAGGAGCAGGAATGATTCCCCCTCTCTTTCACTGCCCTGATAACTAAGGCCAGGACAGGTGGAAATCACAAAACTTGTTTCTGGACCCTGGTCTGCCCAGAGACAGCCCCTTTCTCTATGCTCATAAGGGCACACAGAGGCTAGTAGAGTCCCTGCCTGCACTTCTTTTCCCACCCACCTAGTGCCATCAGCGAGCCCCTCAACCCCAAGACCCAGGAGTGGTTTCTCAGAAAAGACCGTCCTTGTCCCTCCTACCACCCCCAAGGGTTTTCAGACTCTGCAGTCCAAGCCTCTCTCCTCCATCTCTCCAGGCCTTTTTCCCCACCTCTCAGATCCATAACCTGAGCTCCATTTTCAGCTACCACCCCAATTGGTCTGGGTTTAGGATTTTCCAGGTTGTTCTGTAGGATTTGCTGCCACCATTTGGTCATATTTGGTATGACAACTCCAGAAGTTCACCAAGTTTTCCAGTTGGCTCTCCCCTAGCTTCTACCCTGCCTCCCCACCCTCACCCCATCCTATTTTTTAAAGAAGTCCACAGCCCTTGTCATAAAGTTTTTTCATGGCAGTTTTCTATGAATACTGGGAAAGCTTTTACTGTCTGACTTCAGTCTTTCCTCCTATAATTCATATTTGTTCCATATAGGACAAATAATATCAATACTTTACATCAGTATACGGTTTTCACTATTTCAAGTGCTGTCACATCTACAAGTGTACATTTCTTGAAGATGCACTATCAGCTGGGTTTCAGGGATACCAAGCTGAATAATATACTATCCCATTTATTATCACAATAGCCTTGTAGGTGGGCTGGCATTTTGAACTCATTTAACAGATGAGGAAACTGGGACATAGGAAGGCTAAGTAACCTGCCTAAATAGTGAGAAAGCTTGGACAAGAACCCAAGGTTGTTAACTTCCAGCTCTGTGCTTACTCCACTAATAGGCCTAGGCTGATGGAAATATCACTGGCACCTTCTGGGGTGGGGATCAGAGTCTTTTCTGGAATTCCTGATGCTTCCTCTGGCCCCAAGTGATACCCCAGGCAGGTTGGGGCAAACCACTTTTGCCCTGGCTATGACTCAGCCCCCTCAGTACACACATGCACATACAAACACACACACACACACACACACACACACACAATGTCACCCATTCTGTCTCTACAGCCTATCTCCTGAGCTGCCACTTTCCCCAACGTCCAGCTTATGGAGCTGTGACTGTCACCAGCCTCCACCCAGGAGGCAGTGCCCGCTTCTACTGTGCCACTGGATACCAGCTGAAGGGTGCCAGGCTCCTTACCTGTCTCAACGCCACCCAGCCCTTCTGGGATTCCCAGGAGCCTGTCTGCATCGGTGAGTGGCCCCAGGGGACTCAGTTCTGAACAGGGGAGTATGATGGGTGGGCTCATCCCTGCTCTCTGATGCTGTCATGCACCTTCATTTCCTCTCCATAAAGAAGGCCAGAAAATGGCCACTCACCTTGGTAGCATTCATCCAAACCTCACTTATTGAGCACTTACTATGTGGAGGCACCACAGGTATACAGAGCTGAATTAAACAGGGACTGTACCCTCAAAGAGTTCACAGTTCCAGGAAATGGGGGAAGAAAAAAAACCACATGGGTCACCAACATCCGGGCAGGAAGTAAAAAAGTACCAATCAACAGACATAAAGTGACCTGGCAGCAGGGGAATCAAACATTCTTAGTTGGATATTTAGGAGGATTCCTGGGGGAAGTAGCATCGAAGATTTGATGGAGGGAACAATGTGGGCAGTGACACAGAGGTAAGGGAGTGTTTAGGGACACAGAAAATAGCCATTTTGGCTGAGGCTTGAGACATGCGGAGGGGCAGTTAGAGGGCCTTGAATGTCAGGCCAAGACTCTGGGTAGGGAGCTGTTGAGGTTTTTTTAGAGGAGGGATGAGCTCAGAACTGTTCCTCAGGAGAGTCAGCCAGCTGGTGCCTGGAGGCTAGGAAGCCAGCCAGGCAAGAGGGTTTGAACTTGGACAGTGACTTTGGGAATGGAGAATGAAGAGGGAGGAGGTTCCAGAAGCACTGGTGAGGGAAAGGGGGAAAGTGGAAGGAGACTCCCAGGTTCTGGTCCTTGGGCAGCAGGGAGTCTGACACTGTGCCAGGCGGAGGGACTTACTGGCAGAAGGAAGAATGGAGTCTTTATCTGCAGTGTGAAAAGTAGCTTGGGCTTTTCTTTTCTTTTCTTTTCTTTTTAAATTTGGGCTTTTTAACCTTATTTCATTCTATAAACTCTTCCTGGGTACCAGGCACAAGCAGAGTTGAACAAGCCAGACATAGTCTCTGCCCTCAAGGAGCTCTCTGTCCAGTGGGAAGACCAGCAATCAGCAAGTTCAATGCAGATAGTGCACTGAACTGTGTGAGGGGGTGAACCCAGGGCCACAGTGAGGATCAAGGGGAGGGAGAGCTGCTCCCAAATGAGGAAGGAAGCAAGGAAATCCTCCTGAGAAGAAGGCATGGAAGGATTACAAGAATGTTAGCTGAGGGAAGTGGGGTGGATTCCTGGAACAGCATATGCAAAGGTGTGAAGGCATGAAGCAGCATGCTAAGGTGAGGACGTGGTGAGGTGTGCCTGAAGAAGAGAGCACATGGGGAGGAGCCAAAACCGAGCCAGGAGAGAGCTGGCTTCGTAAAAGGATAGAATGCCATCTTGAGCTTGGACTCTATCCTGAGGGTAACAGGGAACCACTAAGGAATTTTAAGTAAAGGATGCAGCATGATCAGGTCTGAAGAGCATTTCCATTCAGAGACCAAGCAGAAAGGTGCAGAGAAGCAAAGAAGAAACACCACAATCCCCTCTCCAGGAGCTTTATTAGGTTAAAATATTCTGCTGTCCTGAATGTCTAGAGACAAAGGCTCTATGTCTTAGCAATGGCAGCCTGGTCTCTGAGAGCTGGCAGGGTCCAGAGCTGCATGTCCAGGAGAAGAAAGTGCTGCCTGCAGCCAGCCATACTCCTCCTGCCCGAGACCCCTTCTCTGGCCCCGCCTCACTGCCGGGAGCTTGTAGTCAAGTAACCCAGCAGTCCTCAGTGGTGGGGACAGGCAAGCTACTTAGCCGCTCCTTGGAAAGAGAGGACAGTGCCAAGCCAAAGGGCCATTGCTGGGAAGGCCCTAAGGGGTCCACCCAGGAATGACAATGGTAGTGTTGCTGTTTCAGAAAGTGTTTGAAGCCGTCTCCCAGCTAGCAATGTCTGCTAAGGGCACAAGATTGGGAGGCGAATGGCATGCACCCCACATGTTTGTGAGCCCTAATCTAGTCCTACCCTCTTTTTTTGTTTTACAACCATTCACTTATTTTATTCAACAAACACTGAATGCCAACTCTGTGCCTGGCCTGAAAAGACCTGGCCCCTGCCCCACGGGTTCCTGGTTCAGGGACATATCCAGACAATAACTGGTTTTAGGAAAGTGGCATGAAGTAGAGGTAACAGATATACCCAAAAAAGCTGGACCTCTGTATAAGGAGATTTATAAAGTCCCATCAGAGGGGAAAGTAACTTACCCAGGGCCACAAAACTAGTCTGTGTCAGACCTACCAGAGTAAACTGGCTCCCAGAGTCAAGGGAGTCACACATGAATGGTCCCTGGGTGCACATGAATCACCCAGAGGGGTAAAAGATTAGGAGGTAGGATTCTGGAGTCCAGGCTTCTTGGTGCTGCAGGGTCACAGGGACACAGGATTGACCTTAGGGACAAGGAAGGCAAAGGTCCCTACTGCCCCATGCAGAGGGTGCAGAGCAAGGATGAGCAGGAAGGCTGGTCGGGCTGTCAGGATCGTCAGGGACGCAGCCCACCGCCTGTCCCTGTCTCGCAGCTGCCTGCGGCGGGGTGATGCGCAACGCCAGCACTGGCCGCATTGTCTCTCCGGGCTTCCCGGGCAACTACAGCAACAATCTCACGTGCCACTGGCTGCTGGAAGCTCCTGAGGGCCAGCGGCTACATTTGCACTTTGAGAAGGTGTCCCTGGCAGAGGATGATGACAGGTGAGGGGAAGCCCGGTGGGATGGGAGTGCCTGGCCTGCTAATACCCTGCTGGAGGGATGGTTACCAAGCCTGGGGACACCCCCCACCTGGGTCAGCATCCAGCCACACAGCTGCAGCTTTCCTGACCCAGACTCATCATCCGCAATGGGGACAATGTGGAGGCCCCACCCGTGTATGATTCCTACGAGGTGGAGTACCTGCCCATTGAGGGCTTGCTCAGCTCTGACCGACACTTCTTTGTGGAACTCAGCACTGATAGCAGTGGGGCAGCTGCAGGCATGGCCCTGCGCTACGAGGGTGAGCCTGTTGGGGCCTGAGGTGGGGGGCTTGGGTCTTTTCCCTCACTGCCTCGATTGCATCACCATGCTTTCCAGCTCAGCCCTTGCTCACCTGGCACTTAGGGCCCCTCTACCCACCCCTCCCATTGAATCCAAGATTCCTACCCCATCTTTACAGAAGTCCCCTGCCTGGACCTAGGCCCTCTGGCCCAGGAGAATGAATTCTCTAGAATTTGAGGAGCAAAAAACAGCCCTAACCCTTAGGGAAGGAGAATTGCTGCAAGAGACATTCTAGAACAATTCACACATGCATATCTGCATTAATTCACAGAAATTATTGAGTACCTTCCCCTTGTGTACTAAGCACAAAAGTCAGTACAAGGAATACAATGGTTATCATGACAGCCTCCTGAGCATAATAGGATGGCTGCTCTGGGCTGTCCCTGCCTCCTGCTTCAAGCTTTGGACATATACATTTATAGTATGAGGAGGGAAGTAGGACATCTGCCCCGCGTTTGCCTGGCTGAGGCTGAGCTGGGCTGGGCCCTGTGGTTTACAGCCTTCCAGCAGGGCCACTGCTATGAGCCCTTTGTCAAATATGGCAACTTCAGCAGCAGTGCATCCTCCTACCCTGTGGGTACCACTGTGGAGTTCAGCTGCGATCCTGGCTACACCCTGGAACAGGGCTCCATCATCATTGAGTGCATTGACCCTCATGACCCCCAATGGAATGAGACAGAGCCAGCCTGCCGAGGTCAGTAGGCACCAGTGGATGGGGCCTGCCAGGGGCAGGGAGCAGGGTGGGCCCCAGGGAGCCAGCTGAAGAGCCTGGGGCCGTAGGAGCTCTGTGACTTGTATGCTTCCCCCAAGGACAAGGTGGGAGATCCCAGCAATGGGTGGGCACTCCTGTGAGCAGGAGGCAGCTCCAGGACACAGCACTGGGGGTGGGGGGAATGCGGAGGGGACGCGCCTCCCGGGCCTCCCCTGCCTTCCAGCTGTGTGCAGTGGGGAGATCACAGACTCAGCCGGCGTGGTGCTCTCCCCCAACTGGCCGGAGCCCTACAGCCGAGGGCAGGACTGCATCTGGGGCGTGCACGTGGAGGAGGACAAGCGTATCATGCTAGATGTCCGAGTGTGAGTACTCACTGGGCTGAGCCAAGTCAGCTCCTGAGCTCTGGGGACAACTCTTGCCCAGCCCACCCTGGGGTCCCCAGGCCCGCCTCCCTGACAGTCCTCCTTCACAGGCTGCGCATAGGCCACGGTGATGTACTTACCTTCTATGATGGGGATGACCTGACAGCCCGGGTCCTAGGCCAGTACTCAGGGCCCCGTGGCCACTTCAAGCTCTTTACCTCCATGGCTGACGTCACCATACAGTTCCAGTCGGACCCCGGGGCCTCCGTGCTGGGCTACCAGCAGGGCTTTGTCATCCACTTCTTTGGTGAGCTTGCCCCTGCATTGCCCTGCTGCCTCGGGGAGAAGGGATGCCAGAAGGCAGATGCCGAACCATGGCAAGTCAGAGAGGCCAGGACAGTGAGGAGTCTGAGTGTTCTTGTCTGACAAAGGAAAGCTGGAAAGCTCCAGGTACCACCTAAAGGAAGCTAGTTTTCTTTGCCATCTTCCCTGCAGACCCAGTGAGGGGAAGAGAACCTTCTGTTGCAGCAAGAGGGATTTGGGTAGACAGCAGGAAAAACTTCATAACAAAATTTCATGGGGTTTACTAAGGAAAGGTATTCGTTTCTACCTTTCCAACAATCTTTAATAAAAATGACAGTTTTCTCCACCTTGCCTGGCCCCTCTCTGGACTGAGGAACTGGCCAATGTACTTTTGGAATTAAGGCCAAAGCCTAGATAATAACCCTGGAATCTAGGAGAGAGAACAATGTCAAGGACAGGTAAGGAGGGGCCATTGAGCAGGGAAGTACAAATCGCTGAGCCTGCCCAGGACAGGACAGGCCTGGGAAAAACCGGCAAGAGCTGGAATGCACTCAGGGTGAGAGACGCTAACACAGCTGCCTTGGTGCTGGCTAAGGGCCTGCATTTGCTGCCCCTGTGCTCCCAGAGGTGCCCCGCAATGACACGTGTCCAGAGCTGCCTGAGATCCCCAATGGCTGGAAGAGCCCCTCGCAGCCCGAGCTGGTGCATGGCACTGTCATCACTTACCAGTGCTACCCTGGCTACCAGGTGGTGGGGTCCAGCATCCTCATGTGCCAGTGGGACCTAACCTGGAGTGAGGACCTGCCCTCCTGCCAGAGGGGTGAGTGTACCTGTTCCCCATGTTCCCCTCGTCAACATAACCTATAAGCTCCTTGCTTGGATTCTGATTCAGCTGTTATTAGTTGGTATCCTTGAAGTTCCTTCACCTCTGAGAGCCTCAACTTCCTCATCTATGGAACCAAGTACTCCAAGTATTTTGTTCCTGTTAGATGGCCAATCAGTGTTTGTTGACTGTTGATGGATGGAAAGGGGACAAGTGAGGGATATACTAGCAAAATGGTAAGGACAGATAACTAGGGAGTGGAGCCATATGGCATGAAGATGTTGGCTGGCCTGTGACAGAGCCAGGGTGGACTGGCTCTTGTTGAGTTCTACTTGGGTTAAATCCCCCTATCACCTTCTACCCATAGTGACTTCCTGCCATGACCCCGGCGACGTGGAGCACAGCCGACGCCTCATATCTAGCCCCAAGTTTCCTGTGGGGACCACTGTGCAGTACATCTGTGACCAGGGTTTTGTGCTGTCGGGTAGTGCCATCCTCTCCTGCCACAACCGTCAAGCCAGCAGCCCCAAGTGGAGCGACCGGGCCCCCAAATGTCTCTGTAAGTTTCAATTGGGTAGGAGGGAAAGCCTCTGGTAGGAAATAGAAGATGCCTCTGGAGGCTATGGCCTGGCACCCTCACTGGGCCTCTTCCTACTTTGCAGTGGAACAGCTCAAGCCATGCCATGGCATCAGCACTCCCGAGAATGGTGCCCGCAGTCCTGAGAAGCGGCTACACCCAGCAGGGGCTACTGTCCACTTCTCCTGTGACCCTGGCTATGTGCTGAAAGGCCAGGCCAGCATCAAGTGTGTGCCTGGGCACCCTTCACACTGGAGTGACCACCCACCCATCTGTAGTCCTGGTGAGTGCTCTGGCATCCCAGAACCCCTGCCTGGCCTATAGGGCTGCCCTGGCAACAATGTCAAATGTTGAGAAGCAGAACCCCCTGCCCACACTCCCTTCATGTTCCCCTTAGTCTCTGCTAGATCCTCTGACTTGGTGACACCAAGACAAATGCTTGGGTGGGCTCTCCTTGAGCAAATCTTTCCTATGGTCAGCCCACGCCCTCATGAGTGGTTTGGCCCCCTGGGCTCACTCTCTGCCCTTGGCCCTTCCCTCTTGTTCCAGCCTCTCTGGATGGGTTCTACAGTGGCCGCAGCCTGGATGGTAAGCCCCCACCTTGGAGGACCAGGGAAATAGTCTCTTTGTCCCTGGTTCTCACAATTCCCAGGCCAGGGGTTCCCCAAGGCGGAGGGGCAGAGAAAGAGGGAGGTCTGAGACTAGCAGGGCAACAAGCTCCTTCCCTGCCCCCAGCCAGCTAGAGGGAGCTGGTAGCTGGAGGCTCCTGTGCAGAGGTGAGGGGATAGCAGCTCCAGGTGACGGGACCTCTGTCCCAATCCCAATTGTGTTTTCAGTTGCCAAGGCACCTGCTGCCTACAGCACCCTGGACGCGGCCCACATAGCAGCTGCCATTTTCTTGCCACTGGTGGCAATGGCACTCTTGGTAGGAGGGGTGTACCTCTACTTCTCCAGGTGAGTCCGGCTTCCCTTCCTGCCCCTGCAGGCCTGACTCACTTCTGCGCAGCACTCCTGACTCACACGCTTCTCTGCCCCATAGGCTCCAGGGGAAAAGCCCCCTACAGCTGCCCCGAACACAACCCCGCCCCTATGACCCCATCACCATGGAGTCAGCATTTGACAATCCAACTTACGAGACTGGAGTAAGTACCCATGCCAGCCTTGACACCCTATCCAGGACCCAATCCTATGCTCCTTTGGGCAGGTACCCTGAGGGTCCTGCCAAGCCCTCCCACTCTCCCTTTCCCTTGGGAAGGTGTACTATGGGCTGGCAAACCTTATACAAGTTTCCAACTCCCAGCAGTCTCTTTCCTTTGCAGGAGACCAGAGAATATGAAGTCTCCATCTAGGTGGGTGCAGCCCAGGGAAGCCAGGTCAGCCCTGCATCACAGCCCAGTAACAGAGCTCCCAGCTTCCTGCTGTCCCTCCACCTCCTGTACATACCACCTGGGAAGAGATGCCACCAATCCCTCAAGAAGTTGTGCCCTTCCCACCTGCAAGGCCCACAAGGGCTTATTTTCTTGGTACTGCTGCCCACTTAAGGCCCTTTCTTGGGTCCAAGTCAGGGGTCATCTGCCTGTGAGCAGATCACAGCAGGAGCACATGCATCAAGGACCAGCATTTTTCTGACCCTCCTTCATGCCCTGGACCTCCAGCCTAAAACTCACAGGCAGAGCAGGAGCACCTTTCTCCCTATGAACACCATCCAGCCTTGTCACCTAGCACCTTGCAGCAGGGTTCACTGGACAGTGATGGAAACTGTGCCAGCATGGTCCTCACAGAGCCGTCACCAGTGGCCAAGACTGCTCGCAACAGTGACCTCTGAGTAGTCCTGGCATGTTGACGTCAGCCTCTTGGGGAGATCTCTAGTCCTTCTCTAAGGCCCCAGGAATGTTGGAGAATGTTCTCTGTCTCCTGTCCCTTCCTGGTGGAGGCAATAATCCTAAGGGATCCTAAGGAGTTTGGGCCCCTGCCTCAAACTCAGATTGGGCTTCCCTAGGAACTCATACTCTACACCGAAGCAGGACACGCCACTGCTCCCTGGCAGCCCTACACTCTGTGGAGAGGGAGGCCTTCCTCTGATGTCTGGCTGTTGCAAACATCCTCTTTCTCACTAGTCCCTCCTCTAACCCCAATTAGTTGCCAGGCTATCCTCCTGGCCACTGTGTTTTGGGATAACAGGAGTGAGCAGGCATATTCTGGAGAGGAGCAGAGGTCCAATGGCCCAAAAATGTGGCATGGAACAGGGGATCAGAGAGCCCCAGGGAGGGGCCCATGGGCTGGCAACAGGCCACCCTATACATGTAATGTATTGTATGGGGTTTGGGCTCCAGCCAGAGAACAATCTTCTTTTTCTGTTGTTTCCTTATTAAAATGGTGTTTTTGAAAAAAAAAAAAACAACAACAAGCAATGGCCAGATGGATGGTGCTTTCTTGGAGGGAAGAGAGGTGGGAGATAAATGGGATGTAGACTTCAGAACCACAGGCATACTGGGCCTACCAAATGATCATCCCCAATGGAATACAGGTGCTTCAGGGACTACTGTTCGGACAAAGTCAGAGCAATAGATGGCAGTTTGAAATGAGAGGCCCCAGTGGCTGGTGCCTCAGTGGTGTGGGAGCCTAGGAACCCAACAGCTCATTTACTCCAATGCTTCATTTCCTCCTCTTTACTAGGTCCACAACTACATGTTGGCACACTCCTAAGCACCTCCTCAATACAGCCACTGTATTGCTGACAAGGTCCAAGAAGCCTGTCTCCTTCCCACTTTTTCCCAGCTAGCAAGACTCAGGAAACTGGATTAGCAATCAGAGACTGAACCCCAAGAATATAGAACTCTAGTCTTCTTTGGCGTCACAGAACATCCAGACTGTCAGGAGCAGGGTCAGTGCAGCTTAGGTCTTGGCTCCTATTTCAGCAAAGCTCTCCATGTGCCCCAGAAAGAGGTGGCTGGAGAGGATCTGCTCGTTTGCCAGATTTTATCCCTGCCAGCCTCTATGCCCCTTCTCTATGGCCTCCAGCACAACCTGAGATGAAAATGTTTGCCCAGTCTTGGCTGCCAGCATGTACATCCATGCTTAGAGGTGGGCCCTGCACGGCTGCTCTCCCAAGGAAAAGCAAAAGACAGGCAACAGGGAGTTACAGGCACTCCGAAGCCAGAAGAAAAGATCCCTGAAGGAAACAATAGCAACAACCAGTATCTACAGTCTTCCAGTAAGGAGGTCTTGACCACTCAGGGTTACCCACCTCCTGGTTCTACAAGCCGCTTTGAAGGGTGGAAAGGTTCCAGCCTACACAGAGTGCAGTGCCTAGATTAGCCACAAGAGGTCACTTCCAAAAGCATCTGTATCCCACCTGCTCGCTCTCAATCCCCCTAGAATAGCCAGAGTTGGAGCTCTCCTAGGTGGCACCAAATACTTGCACACCTAACAGGAAAGTGTGCAGAGTGATTAGTTCCCCTAGCATTTGTCAGCAGAGCCAAGTATTACTTCCGTCACTAGCCACCACCTGTTCCTGTTCTCAACTGCAACTGATGGTGTTGATGAAAGCAAAGCCTTGCTCATTGTGCATGTGCCAATGACTTACTTATCTGCCCCATAATGCCTTCAGGCCGTCACAGCAGCACAGCTGGGCCCTGGACAGTAAGAAGGAATCTAGTGAGAGACGGCACTTGAGGTTCCAACTTCTGGGGGTCTGTGGCTTGAAATACAGTCCCAGAAGAGATAAGGTCTGGCCACTCCCATATCTAGCTCAGCCTTTCTTTTTCTGAGAACACATCTCTGGCCTGTAGGCAGGAAGATTTCATGTTTGCTGAGGCTGGCAGACAGAGAGTGGCCAATTTACATGACATCTCCCCTACCAGACTGATAAGGCCTATGACTTTACCATTCTTCCCAGGCTATCACAAAGATCAGAGGTCATCATAAAGGTCAGAAAAAGAAACCTTAGACCACATACTTACACCCCTACCCTATCTAACTCATCCTCCTTACTATCCAAAAAAAGGCACAGCAACAGCCCCTCACAGGTAGTTAGCGTGTTGTAGTGGAGAGTGTCATGGCCTGGGAATCAAGAAAGCCGTTTCATTCATAGGTCTGCCATAAATTTACTATGTGAACTATGCAAGTCACTGCTCCTTTCTGTGTATCTGGAAATAAGGGGATTTATACAGATGGTCTTTAAGACCTTTCCAGTTTTACACTTCTGAGAATGCTAAGTATATCTTAACAACAATAAACGTGAGCAGGACACGGCTACCCGGCAACAATCAGGAACAATAATGCCATCCCCTTTTTCACTGCTTCATCTACAGTCAAGCAGAGGTAACTGACCAACTCTGAAGGCTATACCAAGGGAAGGAGCAGGCGCCGTACAGGGAACATGAAACCTTCAGACTACAAATCCCAGCGTACAGCACGGCAGCTCTCAAAAGTATCCCTTCCCGGCAGGCAAACCCCTCTTCCCCGAGTCCATCCTACTACATACAGTGCGTTGCACGCACACGAAACTACGACTCCCACAGTCCACCAGACCGATCGCCCTTTTGCTCCCAGGATGCAATTCGCTCCTGTTCGCCCTTTGGACCGCTTGCGCATTGCAAACTGGGAGTTGAAGTCCACTGTAGGCAGGTAGCTGGGCGTTGTCAGCATTACAAACTCCGTTGTTGGCTTCCTTTTGAAGAGTAGTTCTCAGGGACAGTGATCTAAAGAGGGTAGTAATAGGCAAGTGGAACTCTCCATCGTGCCATCACTACGGAAGGCGGGGATGTTCGGGCTAAATTTACTGTCGGTAGCGGGAGGGAAGTAGGAACAGCAGCCTTTCAACCAGACACCAAAAGCATCGTTTTCTGTCGCCTTGGCTTTTCTTTTTTTCTTTACCAATATGGCGACTGGTCCAGCCACACCTGACCCTGGAACCAAGCAGTTCAGTACAACATCCTTAGGAGTACTGCCGTCATCGACAGCCTACCAGCTCCACGCAACACCACACCTTGCTCTTTCCTGTTCATGCCTGAAGACTCCAAGGACACGGTAGCCTATATCCCATTACCAAAATGGCGAAAGAAGAGGTATTCTTGTTAGGGCCTGCAGGTACAATACGCCTGCGCGGCAGCGTTGTGGGGCGGAAGGGGAGCGCACTCAACACGCCTGCGCGGGAACAGAGTACTCTTCGTTTATACACAAACACCAATGGATAAAGCGTCCTGGTGTTCCTGCGGCTGCGTCTTGACCCTTACAAACTCTTTCAGGCGCCTGCGCGAGACCTCAGGTCCCACCCTTTATTTTAGTACGCCGGCGCAAGGCCGAAAGGCGGGGCTTCGGCCCTCCAGACGAATGCCAGCGCGGCTGCGCGCCGGGGGGTATGCCCTCACTGCGGCTGCGCGGGAGCCCGGCCGCCGGCTGTCACTGCGGTTGCGCGCGGCGACGGCGATCCCGGGGCGCCTGCGCGGGTGGCTTTGCGGGCGCTCGCGGTAAGTTTGCGCCAAGTGCGCGGCAGCCGGGACGCAGACGGCGGCGGCGGCGAGAGGCGGAGCCCGGGGACCACCCCCCACCACCCTCCCCGCAGTCACCTCACGTACCACAACCTCACCTAACCTCTTACCCCCCCTCCGATACCCCCAACCCCGGGATGGCAGCGCCCTCCAGCCTTCCTGGCCGGACCAGCGGTCGCCAGAGCCGGCTTTAGCCTGTGGGACTAGGCCCCGCCGAGGCCTGACCCCCGGACCCGGGACCCACCGTGCAGCCAGCCGCTGGGCCGAGGCTGAGGGGCCGCTCCCCCCTCACGGCCTGTGGGGAGGACGCTGCCGTCCCGGGGACTGGGGGCCGGGGGGTGGGGGGGAGCCAGGGCGAGGAAGTCGGGACCCGTGTTGGAAAAAAGAAGGGGGGCCGGGGTCAGGAGCGCCCCCTCCCCCCGCTTCCCCCCTCCCCCCGGGGTTGGGGGGGCCGGAGCAGAAAGCGCCCAGCCCGGGAGGTGGATGAATGTGGGAGAAAATGGAGACCAAGACGATCGTATACGACTTGGACACGTCGGGGGGGCTGATGGAGGTAAGAGTGGCCCTCCTCATCCCCTTCCCCCAGCGCCGGGAGGGAACCTCCGCCCTCCGCCCCACAAAGCCGGTCCTGAGCTCGCAGCGCTAGAGGGCCTAGTGGCGGGGGTTGGGGGTTGGGGTTCTTCCTCATCCAGACTCTCCATCCCATCTTTGCAATTCGGGGGTCTGAGCTCAGTTTCCGAGGACGTTTGCAGCAGATTTCACCTACCCGCTGCCCTCCATTCGCTATCCCGAGGCGCCAACCCACTCCATCTCGTTGCACCGGCGGGCTTCCCCACCCCCTTCTTGTCGGCCCCTTTGTGCTTCACCCAGCACGTCCGGGTACCGGGCTTCAGGCCTCTCCCTAGCCTGGCTTTGGAGTCCCCCACTGTCCATACAAGGAAGTGGCGAGAAGGGAACCGCGCACCCTCTCCCCAACCCCCTACCCTGATCCTCCCCATTTGGAAGAAGCTGTATCTCGTTGTGCTGCAGGAACGCGGTTAGGGTGGGCTCCCTCTATTCCGGGGGCTAAGAGGTTCTCGGAGCAGCCTGGATGGGAGGAAGAAGGACAAAAGGGGGGAGAAGGGTGGGTGACGGAGAAGCCGCTCCGGGTGGACAACGGACCGCCCGGGAGCTCCGAGTGTGCACACACGCCGTTTGTATGTGTGTGCAGCAAATCCAAGCTCTGCTGGCTCCCCCCAAGACGGACGAGGCAGAAAAGCGGAGTCGGAAGCCTGAGAAGGAGCCCCGGAGAAGCGGCAGGGCCACCAACCACGACAGCTGCGATAGCTGCAAAGAAGGTGGGGATCTCCTGTGCTGCGACCACTGCCCGGCCGCCTTCCACCTCCAATGCTGGTAAGGTCTAGGGACCCCTTTGGAGCCTCTTGGCGGACTTTTCTCGGCACATTCCTTCACCCGGCCTACCCCTGCCTGCCGAAATAACGGGCGGCTTGCAGCCGCTAGCTGACTTTCTGCAGCTGCTGGAGCAATCACCTCCCCACCCCCAGGTGTCCGGATCTGGCTGTTTTGGGGGGAAGGAGTAGGAGTGGGTCTGAACTCCGAGGTGGGGGTTGGGAGGAATGAGGAGAGCCCCATCTGGGATTGGAAGTCGCTGGCTGGGTAGCCGGGACCCAGCCGGCAGGGCACGGCCGGCGGTGGCGGGGGAGGAAGGGGAGGAGCTCCGAGCCCTGCGCCGCTCGCCCGCCCGCGCGCCTGCTGCCCTCGGGCTTTTGCCGGGCTGGGCCCTCCGGGTGGGTGCGTTGAGCCCTAGGCCGCCGGAGCTGCCCGAACTGGGGGACCCGGCGCTTGCGGCTGTAGAAGAAATCATGGAGGATGTCTCTCGAGTCCGCCTCTTCTCTGCCTCTCTGTTTACAATATGGCGACCTGCCTTTAAATTATATTTTTATTCTCAGCGCCATTTTGGCTGCATATATGATTTGCAAACGTCTCCCAGGGAGCGTTGGGGGTAGCCTCGGAGTCTTTTCTGCGGAAGCTCCTCGGGGGCCGGGGCTGGGATCTCGCCGCTTTGGTCCCCTTTCTCTGCCTCCGCTTGCCCCCTGTTGCCTCTCAGAGCTGCCTCCCCTCCCAGTGATGCCGCCTCTCAGGAAATCGGGCCGGGTTAGACAATTTAAATTGCCCTTGGGCGCTGATTTCACTTCTCCGCTCCAAGTCGGCGAGCCCATGGTGGCAAAATTATTTGCAGCCGGGTCAGAATTGAGTGCGGTGGCTCAGCGAGGGCATTTTTAAGGAGCAGAGAGCGGAAAGCTGTGTGCGTTACTGAACGCGAGGGGAGGGGAGAGACGGGGTTGGGTTGATCGCCTGCTGCTTGATCCTGCTCATCAGCTCAACCCAGAACGATCCTGCCAAGAAGAGTTTAAACCCCAGCTCTGCCTGGAGAAATCACCTCTGTCCTCCACAAAAAAATGCGCAAGGAACCTAAAATGCATCTCGTTCTGTTGGGTCTTGTTCTGTTGTTCAGCAGCACTTGAGTGAGACCCGTTTGTGAGAAAGCGGGAAGGAGAGGGGCTGTTTTGTTTGTTCCCACCAGTTTTTGATGTTGCCTTTTTTAGTCCTGTTTTTCTTTTAAAAGTATAGGTTTTTCCTTAAGCTCTTTACAGTTTCATTCGCATTCCGTCTCTCAACTTGTGGAATTGTGCCTACTGTATATTTGTACTAATTGCAGGTTTTGGAACACTTATTAGATGACTGATACTGGGCAAATTAATCTGTGGTCGGAAGTTATGTAGAAAGCTCCCATTACCATTACTAAGATACTTCTGCCCAGGAGGGCACCCCACCTTGGCTTATAATGTTGCAGGACAAAAATTATTATCCTAGAGGAAGCTTTGCTGCTGGCTTTAAAATTTTTATTATTAAGTGACTAATACCAGCAGGAAGGGTCGTGGTTTTTAGCCTTTGTTTCCTATAAGGTGTAATCCACGTGGGGAAAATATCTCTGGTCAAGTTTCCTGTGCTGCTATTGAGCTTGGAAGAGATTTGTACCTGGATGTGGGTGTTACTTACCAGTTAACTCCCAGTTGCCTTTGTTTTTTGTTGTGATTTTGTGATACACATATTAGTACTGAATTGTAGGTTTCATGATTTAGAATGTGGGTTAATGTTTACATCTAAGATGAAACTTAGTGTTAAACCAAGAATGGCAACTTAACATATTGAGTGAAAATTTTGTTAGTTCTTTAGTCTTACTTAATAAAGATAAAATTGTTTATTAGAAACTTCAGGCATGGAAAAGGATGCTGTTTTGCCTTTTAAACTTTAAATCCTTATCTCTGGAACTTTTAATTAGATGAGTCAAAGTGTTGTCAAGTTTAACAATTAGCAATTTTCACTTCAGTTAGGAGAGGGAGGGACTCTTTCAGCTGTTGCGGAGAATCAGGCTTGCCTAGACTAAATGTCTTTTTTTTTTTTCTTTTTTTGCTGAGACCATGAATGGGACCTGGTAATCAGAGATTTGAGAATCCTAGTAAATGAGGCAGGACTTGTTTCACATCTCCAGTTCCCTTTTTGAAGATACCAATACTGAATGTACCATTGACTTAATCTGACTTATTCTGTAAATCACAAAGCAAGAAGCCTTCTTTCAAGTGAGGTTTATCCCGCTTCCCTGCCTTCTTGCCCCACACTCTTCCCAGCACAAGTGAAGTAGTAGTTCATTCACCATCTTAACCACAGTAGTTAGGTCAAGCAATTAACTGTCTCAGAAAATTTGAATTCTGAGTGTACTCACGTTAATTTGTCCCATTATTGCTTATTTGTGCCATGTGGGTGCGTGCAGTTAGGAGGTGTGGCTGTATTTTGCTTCCCTTTTCAACAGGCTAAGACTATTTATTTAAATAAGCAAGTAATAATAATTTTCCTTACATACAACTGTACAAGAGTGAAAATGGAGTTTTGTTAACCCTATAGGTCAAAATTGCAGTGCTGCTGTGGGTCTCCATTCAAAGCTGTGTGAAATAAGTCGTTTTCAGTTTCTTGTGTACCTTGCCAGCTTGCTGCACAGTGAACACCATGTAGTAAAATGTTCCAGAAGTGATTCTAGGCAAACTTACCTCCTGGGCTCAGTGACACAGCCATAACCACAGGGGATTTTTCTAAGAAACTACTAGAGGAAATGACTGGTCAAATAAGCTGTTTTAATTGTCCTGTCTTTTCTCAGGGGCCACTGTTTTGTATGAGGAACAGTCCTCCCTTCCCAATTAGACGGGGAGCCCTATTTCAGGGTTTTCTGTAATGATCCTCTGGGTGAGGGAATGAATTATCCTGTGCTCGGGACCATAACCTCACTGAAGAATTAAACTTGAGGAGCTGATGTTTTCATGTTTACTTAAGTGATAGTGTAATCATTTTATCCAAGTTTAACTGGTTTATCAATTATTCAGAGTAGTAGTAGGGGGTGGTTACTAAACTGTCCCCAGAGAATTAGAAAGATAAGTTTTTAAGTTATCCCTGGTGAACCAGACCTTTATCACAATTGTCATGCCATAGTTGAGCTTTCTGAAAATACTGGTCTCCGTGGTCTGACTGGTCCCTAAAAAACCAGTTAAAAAGAAAAATTAGAGTAACTAGTGGAGCTTTAGTTGCCACTGACCCATCTTTCTGTTTGAGATGGATGGATTGTTCTCACTGATAAAGAGTGAATACCATAGGGCATCAGTAATGAGGCTGGATGGTTTCTTCTGATTGCTTTCTTTCCTGGTATTTTGCTCCCAACAGGCTGAGACCAAAACGGTCTGATTGAGAGTGCATCTACCTCAGCAGACCTCAGCATGGTCGCTTCCCGTCAGACAGATTTCTGTAGCATTTGCCTCCGCATGTTATATTTGGAATTGTTGGCCGGCTTTCCTCTCTTTGGTGTTGGCAGCAAGATCCAAAATGAGGTTTTCGAAGAATGAGAGTAAAAAGGTCTCTATGCACAGGCAAAACTAAGCTCAGCTTGGAGTTTTGCATATTTAATTTCTAGTGAGTCATAACAAGAAAGGTTTCACACATTGAGTAGAAAACTGCTTTGCCGAAAATCTTTGCTGTTTGAACTTTTAAGGAAGTGATTTTTTTCATTTTTGTGGTGTTTATTAACTCCTCACTAGAATAGTATTCGGCAGTGATGGATTAAAATACATTTAAATTCACATCTTATGGCTATTGTTTCTGACACTGTAAGTGGAATCCCAGCATTGGAGAACTGGAGGTGACAGCATCGGGACTGCCTCTCCTCACCCCGCCCCCTCAATAATAAAAGGATTCAGCAATAAACAAACCTAATTGGGTTTTATGTGTATCTTATTTTTGCATTTGCTGTGTTGTATTGGTCTTTGGGGGTGTAGTATTGCTTTTAAATGGCCCACTCAAACAGGGAGGGGGGCCCAGTAATGTTCAACTTTAACTTGCATGTTTCGCAAACTTAATTGGGAGCTCCAGAGCTAATTCTTGTGTGATAGGTGCTTTAGATAAAAGATAAAGGACAAATCACTGTTCTGTAATGGGGTCTGTGGTGGGGACTTGATAATGGGAGTCTAGTAACCATAATGTTCAAGTAATTGTACATTACCAATACCAAAAAAAAAGTGTGCATTAAAAAAAATCCTTTCGTACAGCATATAAAGAGGGACATGGCATCAGAAAGTTCACCAGAACACAGAAACCTATATTGTATGACACATGACTGATTGGCATTATTCCAGCTGCCAGTATTTATAATTGTCACCAAATAAACCGAAAAATTAAGAAACAAGCATTTAAAAAAAAAAAGGTAAAAGACAATCACAGTTAAAAAATACAAGAGTACTATTTGGCATGTGTTTATTCACAAAATGTTTGTGACCCAGAGGGCTTTGGTTGCAAAGGAAGCATCAGAAATAATGAAGGTGGAAAAGGAGGTAACACTTCTCTAATTTTGGTGTGACTTAAAGGCAAGTACTTAGTGGTACTGTTGTGAAAAATTGCTCGTTTGGGGCCTATCCCAAAATTAATTCCCATAGTCAGTGACAGGTAGGATGTTGTTATAATGTCATTAATCTCCTGCTGTTCCTTAAGGCTCTCAAAGTTCTTTACAGATGGACTCCACTAATATATAAGGGCCATTTTTGGCCTTTGTAAATGACTTGTGTATTTTTTACATGTGTAAATGTGT